TTTCCAGAACAATTCTATATTTCTTTCAGAACATTTCTACATTTTTTTCAAAACATTTCTAAAAAAAATTCAGAACATTTCTACATTTTTTTCAGAACATTTCTACATTTTTTTCAGAACATTTCTACATTTTTTCCAGAACATTTCTACATTAGCCAGAGCCTTGGTGTGTCCAGATGAACTCGGTGTGTCCGGATGAACTCGGATGAAAAATTCTACATTTCTTTCAGAAAAATTATGCATTTTTTTCAGAAGAATTCTATATTTATTTCAGAGAAATTCTAAAATTATTTCAGATACATTTACGGAGCCCCTAAAGGAACATGGAAAAAAATCAATAAAGAGAGAGAGAAAAAAAAAAGTCCGGATAATGGGTAAGTACAGTATGTCCCTAAAATTAAGTCGCAGTTCGAAATATATCTCAAATAATGTATGCTCTGTCATTTCCCCACGTAAACTTAACAGTCTGCAATGAAATGGTTGTCTCCTGTGTGCTCCACTTCCTCCTTGGCGCACCGGTAACTTTCTAAAAAATAAAAAATAAAGTCAGGATAACGGGTTAGTTTCTCGTGCGCACGTTTTCCTGACTTTATTTTTTCTCATGTCTCTTAAACCGTTATCCCGAGTTTTTTTTTTTTATCTTCTTTTTTTTTTTTTTCACAAGATACTTTCTCGTGCGCACGAGATACTAACCCGTTATCCCGACTTTTTTTTTTTTCTCGCTCTCTCTCTTTTTTTTTTTTTCATGTCCCTTTAGGGGGGGGGGGGGGTTACCTTGGTTGGTGATTGGCTAATGGTTACTCAAGCCAAAACATCGTTATGACGTTATGACATCATAAAGTGGCCAAAATCTGATCAGCTCATTTTCAGACAGGTTTTTATAGAAATGGATCAGGACAAAAAGAGAGAGAATCTTTGTTCCTGAAACTTTCAGAGTCTCTTTACACAGAGGGGACACATGTTGATGTAGAAGAGACATGAAGAAGAGGGGACACATGTTGATGTAGAAGAGACATGAAGAAGAGGGGACACATGTTGATGTAGAAGTGACATGAAGAAGAGGGGACACATGTTGATGTAGAAGAGACATGAAGAAGAGGGGACACATGTTGATGTAGAAGAGCCATGAAGAAGAGGGGACACATGTTGATGTAGAAGAGACATGAAGAAGAGGGGACACATGTTGATGAAGAAGAGACATGAAGAAGAGGGGACACATGTTGATGTAGAAGAGACATGGAGAAGAGGGGACACATGTTGATGTAGAAGAGACATGAAGAAGAGGGGACACATGTTGATGTAGAAGAGACATGAAGAAGAGGGGACACATGTTGATGTAGAAGAGACATGAAGAAGAGGGGACACATGTTGATGTAGAAAAGACATGAAGAAGAGGGGACACATGTTGATGTAGAAGAGACATGAAGAAGAGGGGACACATGTTGATGTAGAAGAGACATGAAGAAGAGGGACACATGTTGATGTAGAAGAGACATGAAGAAGAGGGGACACATGTTGATGTAGAAGAGACATGAAGAAGAGGGGACACATGTTGATGTAGAAGAGACATGAAGAAGAGGGGACACATGTTGATGAAGAAGAGACATGAAGAAGAGGGGACACATGTTTATGAAGAAGAGACATGAAGAAGAGGGGACACATGTTGATGTAGAAGAGACATGAAGAAGAGGGGACACATGTTGATGAAGAAGAGACATGAAGAAGAGGGGACACATGTTGATGTAGAAGAGACATGGAAGAAGAGGGGACACATGTTGATGTAGAAGAGACATGAAGAAGAGGGGACACATGTTGATGTAGAAGAGACATGAAGAAGAGGGGACACATGTTGATGTAGAAGAGACATGAAGAAGAGGGGACACATGTTGATGTAGAAGAGACATGAAGAAGAGGGGACACATGTTGATGTAGAAGAGACATGAAGAAGAGGGGACACATGTTGATGTAGAAGAGACATGAAGAAGAGGGGACACATGTTGATGTAGAAGAGACATGGAGAAGAGGGGACACATGTTGATGTAGAAGAGACATGAAGAAGAGGGGACACATGTTGATGTAGAAGAGACATGAAGAAGAGGGGACACATGTTGATGTAGAAGAGACATGAAGAAGAGGGGACACATGTTGATTGTAGAAGAGACATGAAGAAGAGGGGACACATGTTGATGTAGAAGAGACATGAAGAAGAGGATTTAGCAGAATAGGGGACCTTTAAAGAAAGCAGCTCTCTGAGTCTCATCTCTCTGAGTCTCATATCTCTGAGTCTCATCTCTCTGAGTCTCAGCTCTCTGAGTCTCAGCTCTCTGAGTCTCATCTCTCTGAGTCTCATCTCTCTGAGTCTCATCTCTCTGAGTCTCATCTCTCTGAGTCTCATCTCTCTGAGTCTCAGCTCTCTGAGTCTCATCTCTCTGAGTCTCAGCTCTCTGAGTCTCAGCTCTCTGAGTCTCATCTCTCTGAGTCTCAGCTCTCTGAGTCTCAGCTCTCTGAGTCTCATCTCTCTGAGTCTCAGCTCTCTGAGTCTCATCTCTCTGAGTCTCATCTCTCTGAGTCTCAGCTCTCTGAGTCTCAGCTCTCTGAGTCTCATCTCTCTGAGTCTCAGCTCTCTGAGTCTCAGCTCTCTGAGTCTCATCTCTCTGAGTCTCAGCTCTCTGAGTCTCATCTCTCTGAGTCTCATCTCTCTGAGTCTCAGCTCTCTGAGTCTCATCTCTCTGAGTCTCATCTCTCTGAGTCTCAGCTCTCTGAGTCTCAGCTCTCTGAGTCTCAGCTCTCTGAGTCTCAGCTCTCTGAGTCTCAGCTCTCTGAGTCTCAGCTCTCTGAGTCTCAGCTCTCTTTGCAGCTGCTTCAAAGCCTCAGGAGCAGAGAAACTAAACCTCTTCTCCAGTTCAGTACCAAGAGGCAACGTGTAGTTCTGTGTAAATGTGAGTACCTTCTCCCCTGGTACTCCATCCCCTGGAAGCCCCCGAGGACCCATCGGCCCCTTGAAGCCAGGCTCTCCCTACGAATAAGAAAAGGTCAATTAGTAAACAACACGAGGGTATCATCGGCATGTAGGGACATCCTGAAGTCCTGTCCATGGAGAGGACACTACGGAGGGGTTTGAGGTAAGATAAGAGATAAGATAAGAACTACTTGATTGATCCCAATGTGGGAAATGTTTGCGTTGCAGCCGCATAAACAGACAAGGCGTTACATTAGAGACATTAAAAGAGCAGAAATAAACAATCCACAATGTAAACATCGTTTGAGGGAAAAGCAAAGGCTAGAGATATAAAAGGAGACAGTGGTCATACATAGAATTAACAGTTTAATGGATCAGAGAGTATAATTATTATTATTGATAACTGTATTATGTTGGTCATCAAGGATGGGTATCGAACCGATCCGTGGAGACCAACATCATTTCATTTCATTTGTATTTGTTCCTTCATGGTATGCAGAACTTAATGGATAACAATTATCTACAGAACTTGTCTCTATAAACACACCGTACCTGAAAAGGAGCAGGGAGGAGAAAGTAATCTGATTTGACCTGCTCCTTTCTCAAAGAAATAATAAATAGAAATAGATGGTCTGTGCTTCATATGCTCTTTTTCTCAGCCAATCACAACGTGTCGTAGGACGATAATAATGTCGAGGCTCGTCAAGGGTTTTGATCAGGATGTTTTGTGGTTGTGGCTCCGCAGATTAGATGGTTTTCCACCAATCAGAGGGTCGACATGTCAAACTGTCCATGGGCAAAAACCTACATTTGAGTGAAGGGTTATCCCTCCTGACGACCAGGCGGCCCCTCAATGGGCTCTGCCGTTATGAGGACGTTTTGGTGAACTCTGGACTCGTGTAAAAGCAGTTTTTAGAGCTCAAACAGTCTCTAAATGTTCTGTATCACATGCATGTCCTACCTTTGGCCCCTGGATGCCCTCTCCTGGAGGCCCCATCAGGCCTGAAGGTCCACTTTGCCCCGTAGAGCCCTGAGGATACAACACATCACGGTACTTTAAATAAACAAGGCTTCATAAACTCATGATGAAATAGAGAGGGTTTTGAAACACACACTGACCTTGGGTCCATAGAGTCCAATCCCAGGAGGGCCTGATGGTCCTGGTACCCCCGACAAACCTCTGTCTCCCTGAAGAACAGACACAGATACACCAATATCATCTACAGCATTATACAAGTCTCTGTTTTAGTCTACCTATTTATCTTCTTGGACACATTTGAGTTTGTTCTATCAACAGTCTTTGGTACGATCGATCCACATGACGTGCTCTACATTCTGCTGCCATGTCCACATTTATGAAGAGGTGTTATGTTCGAAGAATCAAAATACCTTTATTCGTATTGAAACACTATTCGATAAAGAGCATGCACATACTATTACAAGAAGTTATTCCAATTTACAAGAAATATGTTGAAGCAGTCTCTAATCGGTGAATCATCTTCAGGTTTACGTTACGCTTCGTCTTTTCTAGAAAACTACAAAAAAAAACATGTTAACTTTCAAACTTCTGCTTTAAATATGAGGATACTGAAAGTTGAATAAAATACAATAATACAAATACAAAATAGTGCAAGAAGTCTTTATGCATGTAAATAGAATATGATATGTACAAGAACAGAATGTAAAATTAAATAATTAAGACAAAATTAAATATGGTTTATTGCGGTGATAAATATTTAGATAAATAAATAAATTGCAAGATGACGAACAGATGAATGTTTATCGAGGCACTTTACAGAGCTCGAGTTTTTACATTTTATTAGTTTAAAATGTAAACCTATTCTCCTTAATTTAACTTTCTCCATACAGTTTGTCCTCTGTTGTTAATACTTGATATTTGCTAACTCTGCTGCTCCATGCATTTCATACATGAAGCATATATATATATATATGTATATGAATCAATATATATATATATATATATATATATATATATATATATATATATATATATAGCGATTATATTCTGTGCTCACGTTACCTTCGGCCCAATGATTCCCAGACCGTGTTCTCCCACAGCTCCTGAAGGTCCCACAGGCCCCAGATCCCCCTGTTAGAGAACCATTAACTCTCATTAAAACTGCTTTCAGATATTTATATTCTCAGAGGAGGGAGAAGTACTCACATCCTGTACTTGAGTAAAGGTAGAAGTACTCACATCTTGTAGTAAAAGTAAAAGTACTCAGATCCTGTTCTTGAGTAAAAGTAGAAGTACTCAGATCTTGTACTTGAGTAAAAGTAGAAGTACTCAGATGGTGTACTTGAGTAAAAGTAGAAGTACTCAGATCCTGTACTTAAGTAAAAGTAGAAGTACTCAGATCCTGTTCTTGGGTAAAAGTAGAAGTACTCAGATCTTGTACTTGAGTAGAAGTACCAGAGTGTAGGAATACTCTGTTTCAGTAAAAGTCCTGCATTCAAAATGTTCCTCAAGTAAAAGTAGAAAAGTATTATCATCAAAATATAGTTAAAGTAGCGACAGTAAAAGTAGTCATTGTGCAGATTGGTCCATTTCAGAATAATATATATGATATGTTTTATAATGATTGATCATGAAAGTGTTCTCAAAGCTGGTAAAGGTGCAGCTAGTTTGAATGACTTTGTATACTGCAGGGTAGCTTGTGGATTTACTCCAGGTGGAACTAAAGTCTGATTTAACACTTGATTATATTTCACATCATTCATCCAGATCTGTGAAGTAACTAAAGGGATTAAATACATGTAGTGGAGTAAAAGTACACAGTAGCATAACATTGAAATGCTCAAGTAAAGTAAAAGTACCTCTAAATTGTACTTATCCATCTAATAATAATAAATAATTGAAGCTCTTCTCACCACTAGGTGTCGCCCTCCCCAGTTCTGCCTCCTCCCTGTTCATTGAACCCAGAACACATCGCTCACTAATCACCAGAAAGACGTGATAACACACCGACACATGGATCAATATCATTTTATCTAAACTCATACACACAATCAATTATTTGTTGATTTATATTCTGTAATGTGAATCTTTAAAGTACCTTAAAGTGTCAGATAATTGAAGTGGAGTAGAAAGTCTTCTCCTTCCTCTCCACCTGATGTTCTTCCTGCCTCATTGTGTGTTGGAGCTTCAGAGCGTTACTGCTATGACCTTTCTTTGTGTCGCCAGCTTCATCTCCATTACTTACGCACTGAACTGTTTGTAATCTGTAAACTACAACATGTCTACCAGATGATGCCAATCCTCCACAATTACATTTATTGATCTTAAAGGTTCTTTATTTAAAGGGGACCTATCATGCAAAATGCACTTTTGTACGTCTTTTCTACATGAATATGTTCCAGGGAACTCACCAAGTGTCAGAAAACACAACCCTCTCTATTTTCCTCCATACCCAAATCTCTAAAAAAGGGGCTGCAACGGATCTGATAAAAACTGATCCAGATTTGAACACTGTCCTGACGTCAGGACGGTGGCGCTACGGCTATTGGGCCAACTCCACCAATCAGGAGGAGACAGCCACGGCCATTGCCGTTCGAAAGCGCTGGAGACGCTGTAGTACATATGCCAGGCCTGTAGATGGTGCTGTTCTCACTGAATCTGCCCCTACAAACACAGAGCTAGAAATTGTCAAATTGAGCGAAATGAGGCATGGCTAAAATGCATGATCTGTTTAGTATTTTGAAAAAAAAAAAGTATAAATATGCCTTATATAGGTATGGTCCTACACTATATTATTCAAATATAGTATGATAGGTCCACTTTAATTTGGAAACAAAAGCATTTAAACATGTTTAAACAAAAGGTAATAAGGAGTAAGTCGAAGAAAGACAAATATTATAATACATATTCAGAGCTCTGAGAAAACTAGGAACCACATTCAGAAGATGAAAGTAGTTTTTACTTTTCTGTAACAACACATATTAGTTTTTGCTCTGTGAGTGTAAAGATGTGAGGGTGCTCCCTGATAGTCTGGGGGTGAAAGGGAGGGAACAAAATATTAAATAACAAAGAGGAAACTGATTTGCAAAACCACAAGATGTCTTTGAATTACTCAAAAGCAAAGAGGGCTCACTAACCAATTTAAAAAACGTACTAAAGGCTAAATAAAAAAGTAATCAATATAAAAAGTGATATGGATCTGAGCTCCTAACACTGAACCCTCCTGTCAGGTTCCTTTCTCCTTCCTCACTTCCTGTCTGTTTCAACTGCTCTTACATTAACACAAAAAACATTATCATCACCAAATGTTATTCCTTTTTAAGCAGTAAACAAAGTCTCTACTGGTTCACATGAATACCTGCAGTGAGTAAACAAAGAATAGACTAACAGATAACATGGTTGTTGATGTGGTTGTGTATCTGATGGAGGAACATCATCTAGGGTTCTCCATTCATCTCCTATGAGTTACAAAGTTGACTAAACCTCTCAAAACTCAATGAAAGTGTGGATCAGCAGTTTGATGTGTTCACATGCTGCTGTGGAGGATATCATGAGGCCTGGAGGCCATCACATGTGAAACACAATATTTATGATTGATGTAAATCAGTCAGATTTGACCCGAACACGACAGGACGGTTAAAAAACACGAGTCCCAACGAGTGCCAAGTGTCCCACAGAGACAACACACTGATCACACACATCCATGCAGAGCAGGAGGAAGAGGACATGAAGCTGCTGCAGCTTTCCTCAGCCTTTGATGAAGGCGAGGGATTGGGATCACCTGAGAGGCTCACCTGGGGACAGACAGTTAGGGGAAGAGACACACAGTAACACAGGGCTCAGAGAAACCACCTGTCAATCATTAGCTGCTGCTTTCAGGAAGAGAGAGAGTACAGCTCTCATTCCTGTTGAGGGTTGAAGTAGAAACAGAGCTGAAACAAAGTGAAACACAGCGTCAGGTGTTCAAACATCAACACAGGTGTTACATTTCTCTGGTAGAAGCACTGCTCAGCGTTCACAGATCGGATGTTTCAGACGCTCTCTGACTCTCTTTCTGCTTTGCTTTCATTCATTATTGCTTTCATTTCAAACGCTGAGGTCAGATATGGAAACTCTTGTGTTTTATGATATAGTTTGTCCTGATAGAAGGCCTGATGTGTGCAGAGAGCTGTACTGAACCACAACACCTTCACATACGTACACATACAGAACATCATTCAATGGATATGGACTTGGTAGTGGACCTCTCCTCCAAGAGCCTGATGCTTTGATAGCACACAGGTCTGTGTCAAATAACAGACTCTCACATGACTCACTCTAAAGTCAATGGCACACAAAGAGGGGTTCATTTAGCACGACACATTTGAAATAACTAAAAGACAAGTTATACAAGGAAGTAGAAAGAAAGGGAGGTGATAGAAAACTATTTCTGCTAAAAAGTTGGCAATGATTGAGAGTCAGAGCTAAACATTTCAGATGTGTGTATCTCACACTGCACTGTCACTTTTATTCATGTGTCTTTGCTTCTAAATGAGTGTTTTTAAATGTCAATTCATAATATGTTTCTTAATGCTCTTAATGTCTTTCATTTTTGTAAAGCACTTAGAATTGCCTTGTGTTGAAATGTGCTATATAAATAAACTTGGCTTGCCTTCACTTTCGATACACAACCTGAGTGAGGCAGATTCACCGAGCAACAAGTGACGCGACGCTCAGACTGAATTCTCATTGGCTCAGACGGAGCTGGTGTTACCTCCCTTCTGTGTGTCTCTCTCATACCCCTTTCACACCAACGGTGTTTCAGGGCCGGTTCGGTGCTGGTGCTTGAAAAGCACCGGGTTTTCCTGTTCACACCGCAGCGGAGCAGCGTCATAGCTCCGGAATCCGGTTCGTTTCGAGCACCAAAAAGTTGTCCGTCTAGAAGCAAGAACCGCATACGTCACGCTTACGTCGGAGGGGGGCGAGATTAACCTGAGCTAACACTTAAGGCGAGTACGGCAAACAGCGTCAATTCAGACTGACACACATTCACTTAAGGGGAACTGGGGATATGTATCAGCTGCTTGTGTGACAGTCAGACAGTGAATACTTTAGAGCCGTGTGAGCTAACCCGGAGCTAACGGGAGAATACACTCCCGTTGAAGAGCAGCCGGCCAGCACTGCAGCGGTCGGTAAATGCCGCTGAAACACATTAATAAACAATGAACCACGGCACTCTGGAGAAAAATATAAGGTTGGAGAAGTCGTTATTTAATTTAATCTGGCTTCGTATGATTAAAAGCAACGCAGTCCCCGGCCCGTTGTTGTGAGGTGAGCTCCGGCGTTGGGGAGAAACTCAGCGACGTAAACTGTGACGTCATGACGCAGCAGCGGCAGCACCAGTCGGGCTCTGAGCGGTGTGAAAAGAGCCGGCGCTAAACCGAAGAACCGGTTCTGAACCAGAAAAGCTCTAGCACGGAGCTTGAACCGGAGTTGCGTTGGTGTGAAAGGGGCATCATTGACATCCCGCTCTGCAGAAAGGACGGCTGTGGGGACGCGGAAGAAGGAAGTGAAGTTGGAGACGCGTGGCAGAAAGTTCACAGAGAATCGGAAATTCGGATACATACAGAAACGGTAGCATTGGACTGTTATTTTGGCGGATTTGCATAAACTGTACATTGAGTGTTTCATCATGTCAACCAGCTCAGATGGTAGCCAAAGAAACAATATGGAATGGATGATAGCCAAAGCTGCGAAGAAGAAAAGATCTTTGAGAGACAGAGATAGTTCAGTAAGAGCTCGAAGTTGGTCGGATTGGTCGGGTGAAGCAGACGAGGCTAAGCAAAACAAAAAATCAAGAGTCAGTCAAAATGACAGTCAAGCAATGTTGAATAAAGAAATAGAACACGAGTGGAAAGTGGTAATAGAATTCAATCAGGATGGTGGGCATTACCACCCGATTAAACTTACCAAAGCAATTGAAAAAGAGATTGGAAAAATTAAATTTGCTAAATTCATGAACAATAAGCGGGTATTGATACATGCCAATAACAAACAGCAGCAGGAAAAGATTCTGGGAATGAACTCACTGAATGGGGAGAAAATGAAGGCGCATGTTCCAGGAGCAATGGCGAAACTGAGAGGAGTAATCTCAGGAGTACCATTGGACATGTCAATGGAAGATGTGAAAAGTGAATTAAAAGGAGGCAAAATAGTGGAAGTCACAAGGCTTAAAAGCAAACGGGATGGTACACTCAAAGAAACATTATCAGTTCTCATTCAGTTTGAGAGAATCTTACCTAAGGCAGTACAAATGGGATATTTGAACTTCATGGTTAGGGAGTACATCCCCAAACCTCTCAGGTGCTACGCATGTCAACGAATGGGGCACACAGCGCAGCAGTGTAAAGGACAGCTAAGGTGTGCGAGATGCGGAGGAAAACATGAGTATGGGAAATGTGAAAAGGATGCAAAGGTTAAATGTTGTAACTGCGGAGGAGATCACAGTGCTGCGTTTGGAGGTTGTGAAGTGCAGAGAGAGGCCAGAGAGGTGCAGAGAGTTAAGATTACAAACAAAGTTTCATACGCAGAAGCAATAAAGAAAGTAAGGGGAACAGTAACAATCAATAAGAACCCTAGTGGAATGGAGCAGAGCATTACAATACAAAATGTCAGGAACACACCAAAAAGTAATCTTCAAATCCAACCCCACAGCGCCACCAAGAGTAAAGAGGATGATGATGTTTTAGGAGTGAAAAAGGTGAATTTTGTGGTATTTATATGCCATACTGTAAATGTTGCATTGCAGTTAAAAAAGAAAAGTGATAGAATCAAAGCCATTGTGGAGGCAGCTGGAAAATTCCTTGACATGAAAGATATTAAAGCAGATCAGATACATGCAATGCTAACTATAAATGGAGCTGGGGAAAATGAAAATCAGGATGAGGGTTAGATCCTTAATCATGGTGCTGCACATACTACAGTGGAACGCAAGAAGCCTCATAGCTAATGGTCAAGAATTCAAGAAATATATATATGATCTAGAGGTAGTCCCTGAGGTAATATGTGTGCAAGAAACCTGGTTACGACCTCAATTAGACTTTGTCATTCCAGGATTTAGCTGTATAAGGCATGATAGAGATAATAATCAAAATGGTGGAGGGTGTGCCACGTTTCTCAAAGATG